AAAGTATGTAGATGCGGTTTACTACCTGTGACCAAAAACCTAGAATTCTAATACTTCTAACTTCTGAAGAATTTTTTTTAGGGTGTGTATATATATGGGAAAATATATATGGGAATTACTTCTTTTTAAAGAAACTAACCTTTCAATGTACCTCTAAAATTAAATGCAAAAACTTTCCTTCAACAATAAAACTCTAATATTTGATGGCAAAAAAGCCCTTAAACTTTTCTCATTTTAGAAGATAAGTCCCTAAACTAAAAAAAATTGAAATAAGCCCCTGCACAATTTGAGAAAATTAGCGTTTCATTAGCGGCTACTTTATCTCCATTGGTTTCAGTAGCATTACAGTTGAAAGAAATTATATGGCTGTGGTTAATGTATCAATCACTACAAGAGAACTTACATTTAGCAATTGAATTATTAATCACTAAACTTTTATTTTTTGTCACAAGAGAAATTATATGGCTGTTGTTGAAAGTTTTGCCCATTAACCCAACCCGAGAATTACATCAAAATTTCAGTAACATGGTTCTTGTTGCTAATATTAATTTTCAGCAAGATGCCCTTTGTTGCTAAAAGTTAATCTCACTTTTTTGGGATATCAGTGCTCCTAAACTTTCAACAACAAGAAGTATATTGCTAAAAGTGACTTTCAGCAACAAAAAGCATGTTGCTGAAAAGTAGAGTTCAATTAATTCCTGAAGGATTCACCGAAAAATATCAGCACATTGCTAAAAGTTACTTTTAGCAACAAGAGGTATATTGTTGAAAGTTGGGCAGCTTTTTCACGGTGAAGTGTACTGGAGGACTTTCAGCAATATAGGACTTGTTGCTGATACATATTTTCAGCAACAAATAATCCCATGTTGCTGATATATTGTTGCTAAAAGTCAAAATTTTAGTAGTGTTCTTTAAATAGATTTATTTATTTATTTTGCTTTTAAAATTTGTAATTCCGTTATTGGTTTTTTTAATGGAATTTTTTTGCTGATAATTGATTGAGTTTGCATGAATTATATATACTTATAAGAAATGAGTCGTGATTTCATTTGTGATTCATCATGTAGTCACAAAATCACTAAAAAAATTTCATATTTAGTTATTAAATTATTGATCACTAAACTTTTATTTTTTTTGTTACAAGTTAAAATTAGTAATTAGCTGAAATTATAAATATATATTGTGTGGATAAACTTGGGTGAATTTAATTATTTTAATATATAAAATTAACATTATCTTTTTTTTTTAAAGTCAAAATAAATTTAAATTCTAAACATTCTTCTATTTAAAAACATCCACTCCATTAAGAAATAATTTATTTAAATTTAATAATTTTACAATTGACATTATTAGAAACCTCTCACATCATTTTATTTCATTAGTAAATTTTGTTAAATTTAATAATTCAAATATAAAAAATTAACATTATCTAGTTACAATTAAATTAAGGAAATATTTTATTCATAAAAATATTAACATTTGACATATACTGGACCAAATAAAAAAAGCAAGCGGCGATACTTCTACCTCGAATTTCTGCAAATTCCTAGCGCAAGGTATGGTGGACAATACCTTTGTAGCGTCGACGCCTAACCCGCGTTGAGTTTTAGGCTCCCTTTGCAATTTCTTCATTGGTAAATTAGGAAATAGGGTCCTTAATTGTTTACTTTATTTATACTTTAATTCTAAAACTTTTAACTTATTCAAGTTTTTATTAGGATTTTAACTTTTCTGGCTCTTAAACTTTTAAAATATTTTAACCTAAGTCCCTAAACTTAATTTATTATGCAATCAAGTCTTTCCTCCAAAAAAAAATTATATGTTTAAAATGAAAATTTCAAAAAAATAATTATTGAAATATAATATAGGTGAAAATGGGTGAAATCTATTACTAATATTTGAAATTTATCATAATTGTGATGAGTTGCAGTGATAACTTGCATAATTTAAAGTTTATATTCTATATATGACCATTTTTTAGAAATAATTTATTCCATAATCATTGAACATGTAGGTATTTGTGATCAATAATTAAAATATGTCACAATTTTGATGAGCTTTAGTGATGATTTTCATTCTAACAAACCCATGCATATTATTTCTGTGACGGTTTTTAGTGATGAATACCTTTTAGTGATAAATTTTTTTTTGTTATTGTATCTATAACCAATAATTATAATTCATTATAATTATGATGAATTATAGTGGTGAATTTTTTCATTATAAGCCTATACTTTTTTGTGATTGTGTGGTTGTGACAAAATAATTTTTTAGTGATAAATTTTTTTTATCATCATTAAATATGTGTGTATTTGTAACTAATTTTTAAAATTTATAACAGTTATAATGAGTTATAGTGATAATTTTATAAGTCGTCACAAATTTTCATCACTAAAAACACTTTTTCTTGTAGTGGATGTAGCAATTAAAAGAAAATAAATAATTTTAACTATGATGTCAATGCATTAATCATGGGGCTTTTGTTTTAAGAGAAGTAAAAATTAAAATGTATGAGCATTTAAAATATCAAGAAATTTTTATAAGATTATTTTAATATTTTAATATTTATTTATTAAATATATTTAAATAATTTTATAAAATAAATCTTAATATTTTAATTAATAAGATATCTTGATTTTCTACTGTTCTTTATCATAATTATTATACTATCTGAAAATAATGAAAGGAAATTTCAAAATTGAGTAGCCTATTTGGACCGATAGGCCCCAACCAGATGAATATTTTTAATTTTATTTTTGTCTGTAATTTTTAATTTAAAATTATTAATCGTAAATTCTATTTCTTTTGTTAAAAAATAACTTATATATTTTTTTAAATTAAAAATTTGAAAACAATATTTGTATTTATCTATAATACTTTTAAAAAAGATATAAAAGAAAAAAAATTGTGATTGAATAATTAATTAAAGTGAATAGATATTGATAAGGGTAGGAAAAAAATATTTATCTATTTAAAAAAAAATAATGTTAGAAAATGATAGTTATTATGTGACGGGGGAGTAGCATATTAAATATTAAACTTTAAGAAATCTAGATCTTTAAACTGTAAAATACTAAAATTAAAAAAATCTAAATCTTAATATTGAGAAATGTGGAATTTAAATTTCGTAATACCTATCGCTTTAAATACTAAAACCTAAAATAATTTAAACACTAAAACCTAAAAAATCTAGACCTTAACACTCCAAATAATGAGTCCTAAAAATTTTTAACTCTAAAAATATGAGTTTAAATTGATTTTAACTAAAAATATAGGATAAAAATAAATTTAATTTGTTAAAATTAGGGACTAAATACTAAAGGGTTTTTGTAAGGATGTAGAATAAATGTGTAATAAATATATTTTTTTGTAATTAATTTTCATTGAAAATGTAAATATTAATGTCAATTTAATTAATTAATAAATTAAAATCATCTACATATAAGTGGT